GGGGGGTAGATTTTGCCTTTGTGCACTGAGAAAAAGTTTTGGTCCTGAGCAGTAAACATTTTGTCCCGAGACCGAAAGTTTTTGACGCACTATAGAGTTGTGCCTGGGCACCAAAGTTTTGTTGCCGAGCTTTAAAATTTTGTTGCCACGCACAGTAATTTCAGTGGCGGGCACTAAATTTTTTGTGCCAGGACGCACTAAACTACCGTCTAGTGCCCGGCAGGGAAAATTTTCACAAATATGGCTGTGTGCCTCGCACCCTCGCCGGCCCGGGAGAAGGGCGTTGACATGCGGCCTCGGCGGCATAAAAGGCGCGGTGGCAGGGCGGGGCGTACCGACCGGGGGATAAGAAGGCGACAAAATCGACGCTTTGTGGCGTGTCGTTTTGTAAGCGGTAGCGGGCCCCGTGCAGGGGAAGAGGCGGAAGGCGGAGGAGGAAGGGGGAGAGGGGAGGGGAGGTGTCAAGAGGAAGACGGCACTGATTGGTCGGGCGGGGCCGGTGGCATGGAGGCGTGAGGAGTGGGTGTGAGAAGGAAGGAGGAGGTGTGAAGGACGGGGTGGGGATGCGCTCGCCGCCTGCGCCCGCCTGTGGTTTACAACTGCTGCAGTAGTTCTCGGTATGGCCTCTGAGTGATGTGGTTTCTTTTGGACCAAGTCAGTGTTTAAGCACTGATAATGAGCTTGAGGTTGACACACACTGGAGAAACAAAGGTTGTAAGCAGCACCTTTGAAAAATGCCTTTACAAATAAGGCTTTGCCATTGATAATGGCACTAGTTTTTGGCATATTTTCGGTATTTGGTGTCTACAGGGACCTTAAATGCCTTACACTCTTCTTTAGCACCTCTGCAAAGGTGCCACTTATCACATTTGCGTTTGCGGTGCACCCTTGCTTTCCTCTCTGTATCCGTCTCCACTCGCTTTGCTTCATGCTTTATGCCCGCGGAGGACGTTCCGTATTTTTTTTTCGCACCCTCCCTTTGCGTTACCCCTTTGCCAAGGTGTACGGTGCCGCCGGGTGCTGTGCTGTGTGTGTATCTCACCATCTATCCCCCTCTCTATCTCTCTCCTCT